TCAGAGTTGTCTGGCCACCCATCTCACGGAAAGTGACTTTGTGTCCTGCCTTGAGATCCTGATGGAATTAGGAGGAGTAATTCTAAGAAGCAAGCAAGTACTGGCAGCCTGTGGGTCCCAAAAGGTTCCCCACCCTTGTTGTAAAGAGCCACTTCCTTTGTTTTAACAGCTGTGTGTTGTGGAAGGAGTTCCTCTTCTAGCTCTGCCCTCCACCAGTGAAGCTCTTAGGGAGGTGGAAGAAGAACTCTGCTTTATCTGGTTCCCCTGAGGAGGAGGTTTTACTGTATAGAGGTGCTCAAAATGATAAAAGGACTGACAATGAAATCCCATTTCCTTCTTCATACAGCTATGAAGCATAACCATAATGGTAACCGTGTTGGCAAAATTCAAAATCTAGATCATAAGTTCTTAATTAAGTCAGTCAAGATTTAATAATAACAACTCTATAAACTTTTGAACATCTGTAAGGTATACCGCACTATGAAATTACAGTTCTCATTTCCAAAATTGCTGTAAAACAGATTTTTCAGTGAGGTTCTGTACTGTAATCCTCATGTTTCTTTGCAGAATCCTGCAGCCAATCCTTGTCTATATATAGATTGGTTTATAATATAATGCCCTGGTCTGTCTTCTCTTCTGTTAATCTAATTTACAAGAAGGATTGAAGTACTTGTTTTGAAGGATTTCTCATGAATATTTCCAGCCTGCTTTAAATGTAATAATCCTGAATAATATACTTATCAAAGGCAAATATATCCGCACAGTTTCTTGTTTATCATCTGAGCTTAGCTGTTATTTAATGTGCAACAAATACTGAGCTTCTGCTGTCTTATCTAAAAACAAATATTAGTCTTCATCTTAAATCAGATTAAAAAAGGTATTTTTGTCCTATAACACAATTTTATTTCTAAAGGATTCTCTTCAATATTTACATCTTATAAAGATCTAAAATGAGTATGCACTTTCAGCAGAATTGCCAGCAATAAAATCGGCTTAAATTCTAACTCAGCCAATTAAACAAACTCATGAGCGTTTCTTTTGATTGGCATAATGGCATTTGGAGAACTGTCATCACAAGTAGCCTCAGCTCTTGAATCAATCCCTCATCCAAGTACCTTCTGGACCAACCACTTGAACATTGGTGCCTTCTCAGTTTCTTAATGGCACAAGCAACAGCAGAAGCTCAATCTGTGCTTTTTCTAATTTATTTATTTATTTATTTTTGCCCAAATTGCAATTAGTGCAGCATTCTTCTAGGACAGTGATGGCTAACTTTTTTGCCATCACGTGCCAAAAGCGGGGGGAGTGCGGGGGGATCATGTGCATGCACCCATAATTCAATGCCCCCTGTGCCCCGCGCATGTGTGCGTGAGCCTCCACCCCCTGCACTCCCCCAGCTTTTGGCACGCGATAGCAAAAAGATTACTGGTGGGCCCAGTAGGCCCGTTTTTCGCCAGAGGCTTTCTTGGAGCCTGGGGAGGGCGAAAATGGACTCCCCCACCCCTCCTGGAGGCCAGTAATACCCCATTTCCTGACTTCCAGTGGGCCCAGAAGGCCCAAAAATCAGCTGGCCGGCATGCGCATGTGCACTAGAGCTGAGCTAGGGCAACGCTCACATGCCCACAGATATGGCTCTGCGTGCCACCTGTGGCACACGTGCCATAAGTTCGCCATCACGGTTCTAGGACATCTTTCCAGTCCAGTAACCTTACAGTAACCTTACTAATATGGTCAGAAAGTTTTGTATGACCTGGTATTCAGTTGTCCAATTCTATCAGTTGCTGATAGAGTCTTAAATCCAACACTTTTAGCAGCAGTTCAATGTTCTTGGTGTCCCTTGCTTTTATCTTACATTTCAGCTTTCATGCTGGTCTGTTGGATTGAAATAGAAGCACTTTGTATAAGAGAATGACTAATTGTTTCAATTTAATTACCATAAAAAACATATTAAGGCTATTTTTTTTAAATTTTACTCTTTAGCTCACTTGATATCTCTTAAGGAGACACAACTGGGTTGATAGAAGATATAATCCATTGGTTTTGTCTGTGCCAAGCTGATGTTACATAAAGGCAATGTCTATCTGATGTGAGGGCCATGTATATGAATTGTATAAAAACCATATTTAATTGATCTAGGACAATAATAGGCCTGCTAGATAAAAAATTTGTGTCCAAGTTATTATTTTTAAGTAAAAAATAAACTAACAAAAGTGGGTGAGAGGGTGTGTCTTTGATGACAATAAGATGTAACAGATTGCTTAAAGTTTTTTTCTTTGCCCTTTTGTGAGAAAAAAAATCTAATTGAAATAAACAGTAGATATCAGCAGTTCATTACTGCAATGGGCATAGATTTATTTTTTCATTCTTGGATATATTTAATTTGGCTACTCACCTAATATATGTAGTTTAATATAAGAACTATACATGAGAGAAGAACAAAAGAAGAAATTTCAGGGTATTTGAAGTTACATTTAGCTTATAATCAGGAAGTGATGTTTTGTTTTGTTTTTTGTTTTGTTTTGTTTCGTTTCGTTTCATTTTGTGGAGGGAGTTGTACTTTTTTTTTTCAACAAAATCTTAGTCAATTCTACAACAATGTCTAGGAAACTGATTTGACTTTCCAGTAGCCAACTTTAGGACATGATGGCAAGTGGAGAGGAAGTCAGTTCAAATCTATCATTTCCACAATCATATTGACTTCTGGATCACAGTTCTATCTATAAATTTTAATAGCCCTCCGTTCATGAAGAAGACACCTCAAGATCCAGCCTCTTGTGCATAGTAATAGACATGATATTCAAGAGACAGAAGATGTCGAATTTCACTTTTGTATCACAAGTTCATATTAATCTCATAGAAATATATTCTTCACTTGGATAAAAGCCAGTTGTAGAAAAAAAAGTTCCTTTAGGTCAACATGAATTTATGACAATATGTACAAACTTTGACAGAGAAGGAAGAATACACCTTTCTTAAATAAGACTGAGGAGGAAATGATAAGATTTATTAGTACTTGGGATAACAAAATGTTTATTGTTCTTCTTTAACAATATATATATACATACACACACACACACACACACACATACATACACACATGCTTCATAGTTTTATTTTCTTTAGAGAAACTATGGCAGTTTTGTCTAATTCTATTTTGTCTATGATCATTTGATGTGGGAATACTAGTACACAATTTTGTACTGTACACAATTTTACCTTATTTAATTGAATTTGCTGTGAATTTTTATTTATTATTGGTAGGTCTTTCAGTAATCTAGCCACTATGACTCCAATATAATTTATCGAATAAGTATATTGAATTTAGATTAAATAGCAACCAATTTATTAAAGTTAATAGCTATATTTAGGGAAATGCTATTTTAGAGTGTTTCTGAGTTATCGAAGTGAGAAAGTGGGACCTTCATATATAGCTATCAAGGTTATGATGGAATATCTCAGATGGTCACCAAGAGACAATTCCATGTGCATTATTTCATAAGTATGTTTTGATTATCATATGTGTGTGTCAGTGGTGGGTTGCCCCCAGTTCACATCGGTTCTATAGTAGAACTGGCGGGGCCTCCCGCCGGTAGTAAAACCGGCGGGAGGCCCTGCCCACTGACCCTGATGTCATGAAAATGTTTCTGCGCATGTGCAGAAGAGCGCGTGAGCAAGTAAAACGAGCGTGTGCGCGTGGCCCCGTTGTGAACTGGTAGTAAAGGTAAATAGAACCCACCCCTGGTGTGTATAGATTAACTGTCACTTACGTTCTTTTTCTCCCATTTCTTTCACCATCCTAATATCATCTTAAGTTTTTCTTTTCATAAGATACGTTTTCTAATTCCCCTACTACAGGTTAGGAGTTATAGAATGTATGTATATATCAAAACACTTTCCATTCCATATTGCCTTTTTGTGTTTTACAAACCATTGTTTAGTTTTGTTTGTACAATATACAGCAGAACAGCAGACTATTCTATTACTAAAATATCATTACAGTAGCAATGTAGTAGTAACATAGAATGTTGCTAACATTGTAAATATATATACGTAACTCCTCCCTCTTCCTATGTTTCAGCTCTGATACATTTTCTGGATTATTTTTAAGAATTCCTAAGTCAGGAAGTGCGTGAGCACTAAAGAATCAGTCACTCACTAACCACAATATTCATCTGCTCATCCACAAGAGTCCACACATTGTGCTGACTTGAGACTAAGCTTTGTGGGAGGTCGGAACAGAGTTGGAGTCATTCAGTGCCTGTCTGCATTCTTAAGATACTCTATTTCAGTGTTTCTCAACCTTGGAAGCTTGAAGATGGGTGGACTTCAACTCCCAGAATCCCCAGCCAGCGCTGCTGGCTGGGGGATTCTGGGAGTTGAAGTCCACCCATCTTCAAGCTTCCAAGGTTGAGAAACACTGCTCTATTTGAAGTAGCTTTTCTGAATACCTTTATAAGTGTCTCAGTAACCCAGCACATAGAGATACCATTCCACTAAGTTCTACTAATGATACTACATGCTAACCCATATATTCATTTTTTGCTTACTTTGTAGACATAGTTATAGAAAAGATAAAAATGCTTATACCAGTATTACCCTAGAAGCCATGACATATACTTTTCTCTCTCTTTTTTTGTCATTTTTAACTGTTTTCTTACAAAACCTTTACTTTTTCTTCTTTTTGAAAATGTATGTAACACCATCACTACAATGTTTGTGTTTTGCTATTTTTTGTTATTACCTAATTGAACAGCAATAAAATATAAATAAAAATATTACCCTAATAGCCATTAATACAAAGTGAAAAGCAAAACAATTTATTTTGGCAAAATGTAAGCAACTTGTGCTTCAATATATTTTATAGTTTCCACTTTATCGTTTAGTGCATTGCAGCCAGGAAAAACTGCATGATATCAGATATGGTAGCTCCTTCAATATTTGTGCTGGCATCTCAGGAACCTTTGTAACATTGGTCTGACATATTATTTCACTTTTTATAGAGTACCATTCTGTGATTTTGCAGTTAAAAAGGGAACATAAGGATGAAATTGAGAAACTAAAAGTAAGTATACTTGGGTATTTATTTCTATAAAAATATTTCCTCTTCCACTGTCGAAATGTTATATAAATTTGTTGAAAGTTCTTATTAGGCATCTTTTGTATTGAAAATATTTTTCATCTTCAAATATTGTCAGAATTTTAAACAGTCTCAAATAACACTTCCTTAGAGACATAGTAGACCTCTGTGAATGCCAAGCATTGTTAACTGTTAGAGACACCACAGGATAATATAAATCAATCTTGTCCTATCATTCATGCTGAACTGTTGACTTCATTTATCTTAAAGGAACCATCCTGGTATTTAAAGATTAGGAAAAATATGACTTTTAGGTTAATATATTTGCATTTCTTTGGTTTGCTATTTGCATTTATTTAGTTAGCTACACATGGCAGGAGAGAAAGTTGAACACCTTTCATATGCGCTGTCTCCGATGCATCATCTGGCAGGACAAAGTTCCAAATAGCGCAGTCTTGGAACGTGCTGGAATTTCTAGCGTGTATACACTATTGAAACAGCGACGTCTACGCTGGCTTGGGCATGTCGTGAGAATGGCTGATGGTCGGATTCCAAAAGATCTCCTGTATGGAGAATTAGTGCAGGGAAGGCGCCTCAGAGGGAGACCACAGCTGTGATATAAAGATATCTGCAAGAGGCACCTAAAGGCCCTGGGAATGGACATTAACAACTGGGAAACCTTGACCACCGATCATTCAGCTTGGAGGCTAAAGACGCAACATGGCCTTCTCCAATTCGAAGAGACACCTGTTCGGCAGGCTGAGACAAAGAGGCAGTTCTGGAACCAGCAAAATCTGGGAGCTGGGCAGGGGACAGAATGTATCTGCCCTCAGTGTGGAAGGGATTGCCACTCTCAAATTGGCCTTTTTAGTCACACTAGATGCTGTTTTAGGACCTCTTTCCAGAGCCCGATACCATAGTCTTTTGAGACTGAAGGATGCCAATGAATGCCAGTGGTTAGCTATTTACTGCAATTGGGTTTTCAGGAACAACGATTTAATGTCTGTTATGTAAGAACCTTCAGTTTTTGTGTTATTTGGTAACAGTATATCTAGTTAAACTGATCCATTACTTCAGAACAGGGCCGTCTTCACAGCATTATGGGCCCCGGGCAAAACAGTGTACTGGGACCCCTATAACAACTACTCACAGGAATAAAAATGTAAATGGTTGATAAAATTGTATTTATTTTATTGGCACTTCCAACAAAATTGGTGTTGAAACATTAAAAACATGTGGGCTTTTCTCATCATCTAAGGGTAAAAAATCAGTGTTAATTTCTATTAATGCTTGTTAGTATTAATTTTTTAAAAATGCAGTAAAATGTAATAAATATGTTGCTGTATTTATATGATAGACAAGGTGCATTGAAGGGTTAACATGCACAGATTAGTATGGGGCCCCTATGCTCGTGAGGCCCACGGGCAAGTGCCCATCAGGCCCATGCATTAAGATAGCCCTGCTTCAGAAACCCACACATCTGTCTGATCTGAAAAGAAAAGGATATAGAATAAATAATCTCATTTACAAAAAGTAATACTTTTATTATTCTATTTTCCTTCATTAGTAAGTATTCCCAACACAAGAGTAAGTTAAATGAAAAACAGAAGCATGTGCCATTGTGTATTGCATTTATATCCAGGGTACCTGATGCGTACATAAGCTTTTTTATAGTCTTTGTTGATAATATCATTCTTCTAATTGTAGTTAAATATTTCCATTGGACTATACTGTAAAATGTAGCATCCAGTATACCTATTTGATATACCTTGTGTCAATTGTGTTGTGAATCCAAAACCACCTGGGTCTATATTGTTTCACCCCACTGATTGGGGAGCAGGTGGGGGGAGGACAATGCATTTCTCAATTTCTGGGTAATGCAAACTTGGGAAGGTCAACTCTTTCATCCTTTGAGACATTTAAAGCAAAATGGTTGGGACCTTATGGTTCTCCAGATGGTGTTGGATCAGTCCTCATCATTACTAACCTATGACTATGTTGGCTTCCATCAGAATGATCTTCTGATGGAAGATCATTCCAACAACATCTGGAGGATGACGGGGTTCCTTGTCTGTTACATACAACCAAATCTTATAAAAATGCATTTAAAAAAAAATATCCACTAGAGGTCAGTTAAGCATCTCTTTCTTTTCCTGGTAGAGAAAAAAAATGTTACAAGGTTAGTTGCTTCCTGTTTTCTCCTATCTTAGAAATATTAAGATTTTGTAGAATGTCCAGGCCTCTGGCTATAATTTTGCATCCTGATGGAGTGGAAAATTCAGAACTTAAGTACAAATACTCAAATGAATTTTCTTTATTGAATATGAGCAACTAATTGCTCGTATAATACGAGCAACTATTTTTATTTATTTTTATTTTATTTTTGATTTATATGCCGCCCTTCTCCGGAGACTCAGGGCGGCTTACAATGCGAGCAACTAATTGCTCGTATTATAAAAAATTGTCCTGGTGCCTGGAGGCCGTGCGGATCTGAATGGAGAGGAATAGGCTCAGGCTCAACCCATCCAAGACCAAGTGGCTGTGGTTTCCGACATCCCGATATAGTCAGTTGGTGCCATCACTGACTATTGGGGGCGAATCATTGGCCCCCACGGAGAGGGCGCGCAACTTGGGCGTCCTCCTGGATTCTCGGCTGTCTTTAGAAGAGCAGTTGACGGCCGTGACCGGGAGGATTTTTCATCAGGTTCGCCTGATCCGCTAGTTGCGTCCCTTTCTGGATTGGGACTCTTTACGCATGGTCACTCATGCCCTCGTCACCTCCCGCCTGGACTATTGTAACGCTCTCTACATGGGGCTCCCCTTGAGGAGCACCCGGAGGCTCCAACTGGCGCAGAGTGCAGCCGCGCGGGTGGTAATGGGAGCGACATGGTGTTCCCATGTAACACCCCTTCTGCGCGAGCTGCACTGGCTCCCGGTGGTCTTCCGGGTGCGCTTCAAGGTTTTGGTTACCACCTTTAAAGCACTCCATGGCTCAGGACCTGGGTACTTGCGGGACCGCCTACTACCACCAATAGCCTCCCACCGGCCGGTACGCTCCCATAGAGAGGGGCTCCTCCGGGTGCCATCGACCAAACAATGCTGACTGGCGGCCCCCAGGGGGAGAGCCTTCTCTGTGGGGGCATCTACTATCTGGAACGAGCTCCCCCTGGAGATACGGAGGATCCCGGACCTGCGCACCTTCCGCCGCGCTCTAAAGACCTTTTTATTTCACCAGGCGGGCCTGGCCTAATTTTCTCCCTCTTTTATAAAAGATTTTTAATTTTTAATATTTTTTAGTATTTTATATATTCAAATTTTAAAATTGGTTTTAAATTGATTGGGGTTTTAATTTGTCTGTGCTAAAACTATTTAATTTGATTTTAATTCTACTTTTTAAATTTTGTATGTATGTATGTATGTATGTATGTATGTATGTATGTATGTATGTATTGTTTGGCTGTGCACCGCCCTGAGTCCTTCGGGAGTAAGGCGGTATAGAAATCAAATCAAATAAATAAATAAATAAATAAATTGCAAAGCAAAGCTGAGTGTTACCGTATTTCCCTAAAAATAAGACCCAACCAGAAAATAAGCCCTTGCATGATTTTTCAGGATGCTCGTAATATAAGCCCTACCCCAAAAATAAGTCCCAGTTAAGATTGTCAGCCAGATGGACGCATTTAGTACATATTTCCCCGAAACTAAGACCTAACCAGAAAATAAATCCTAATGAGTCTTTTGGAGCAAAAATTTATATAAAAATTGGTCTTATTTTTGGAGAAATATGGTAGTTATCATAGTGACCTCTTCAAAAGAAGGTGAAAAGAAATAACATTCTATGGATTAAGAATTAGGGTGCACTTTCATTAAATTCTTTAAGAGAATTACAAATTTAATTCTTTGTTAATTAATCAAATCAGCATTTTCTGGAACATCTCAGAGAGTGAGATCTTCATATGCTTATCAGTTTTTATAGTAGATATCTTTTTATTTTAATGTTAATAGTTAATACTAATTAACCTTTACTTAAATTAATATATTAGATTAATAAATACTAATTTATTATTATAAGCAGTCTTCAAATTTAACAGTAAGGTAAGTCAGGATCCTAAAATTCAAAAATTCAAACCCTGTATAAATGTTAGAACTAAGTATTGAATTTATATCGTAGTACAGTTAGTCTAACTTAAAACCACAATTGGGATTAGAATATCCATTTCTGAGTATGGTGATTGTTAAGTGAGTCATGCTCAATTTTATGATTTGATTTGCCATTGTTATTAACTATGTGGTCATTAAATGAATCTGCCCCCCCCCCCACTTTCACTTTGCTTATTGAAAGTCAGTTGGGAAGGTAGCAAATGGCAATCACATGATCTAGAGATACTGTAACCATTTTAAACACATGTGGTTGCCAAGCACCCAATTTTTAATCCTGTGACCATGGAGATGCTGCAATGGTCATAAGTATGAGAACTGATCATAGGTCACTTTTTACAGTGTCATTGTAACTTTGAATGATCACTAAACAAATGGTTGTAAGTTGAGGACTTACAACCAGAAAATTGCCCTTGGGCAAGTAACGCGTCAAAGTGAGGTGGCAAACCATAATAGAATACAAAAGAATACTGTGCCACCTTATATTTCTACCAGATTCGTTATTTATTTATTTATCTATTTATTTATTTATTGGTTTGATTTATATGCCGCCCTTCTCCGGAGACTCAAGGCGGCTTACAATGCGTTAAGCAATAGCCTTCATACTTTTGTATATACCTGCTTAGTAGGGATTTCGCCCCCCCCCCACCAGCGGTGTTCTCTTTTATACAAAGTCAGCTTATTGCCCCCACAAACCGGGTCCTCATTTTACCTACCTCGAAAGGATGGAAGGCTGAGTCAACCTTGAGCCTGGTGAGATTTGAACTCGCAGTAATTGCAGGCAGCTGGTGCTATTTAACAGCACTTTAGTCTGCTGCGCCATCAAGGCTCTGTTATGAAATAAACTTTACCAAATGTCCTTCTGTAAAACTTATTTGAGTCCTTCTGTAAAACTTATTTGAGATTAAGTACTATAAAACATATGTGTACTTTTGCGTTCAAATATTTGCGTTCAAATATACATGTGTAGGATTGGGCTATAAAAATGTGCATTTTGTTGCTATATCATGTTTTACAGCTCAGGTCTGGTTACTCAAGCACACCCATTTGTTTATTTACTTTGCAAAACACAAAGCCTTGTTAGACAGTGATAGGAGGGTGGCATGATGAGACATGAGTCACTTCCACCTGCTAAAGCAATATATTGCTAATGGCAGAACAAGCTGTTAGGAGAAGTGAGAGATCTACCACTGTTAGGACTAAAAGTAGAAGAAAAGCTGTGTCCAAAGAAGAGATGAGTTACACCAGATCAAAATTCCAGACACTCTAAGTAAGGGCCTCTTAGGATGATAACACAATGTTAGTTCAGGCTAAGAGTCCCTAACTAATTTCTAACCTTGTGAATTCATTGGGGGCTCTAAAAACACCAACTTCCTCTGTCTGTTATAAAATATGCATATCAGTGTATTATATTTCAATATATTCAAAATATTTGTTTACGGTTAGATATTAGATACACTATTGGTTATGTGTCTTAATTACTGAAAAAGTTTTGAATTGGTAAATTTCTAGGAAGAAGGTGATTGGAAATAGATGTGTAGATATTTAAATGCCTTCATAGGGCAGTTGTCAATTTTCCAAATGTGGGGTGATTGACATGCTAGCTGGTAAATAAAAACTTTGGCTTTTGCAAGGTTGATTTCCAGCAGTTTGGATCAACAATAAGATGCTAGCATCTGGAAGCTATGTGCATAGTCCCACTTGGGATACACGCACAGCAACACTGAAAGAATTAAACTGTTTTGCAAGACAGAAAAGAGGCTGAAATTCCCACAATCTGAGTTTTATTTTGGAAACAACTGCTATCATTTCTCGTTCAGTCCACATTTATTTGGGATCATTATTTCCTGTTTAGAACAGCAGCTGTAGAAAATGCTTACTTCATTGGCTTGTATGAAAGGCAAGAGCTCTCTCAGAAGTTGTCCTGGGCTTTTACTTGGACAAACTGGTAGAGCATGAGAAAGTTGAAATGCTAAGCTGGAATCTTTATTAGATTTGTGTGTTCTGGGTTTTGCTCCCTGCTTTGCTTGGATAAGCTAGCTTCTTGCTTGTGCAGCTGCTGCATAGGTAGAGCAAGAATAATTTTTGACAGCAACCCAGCTGTGGGTGCACAAGCCATGAGCCTTGTGCATGCAGAGCTGACTCAGAACTCTGGGCTAAGTGGAAAACATGTTCTGACAGCAATCACAAAAAAATTCAATGGTGCTTCCTTTTTCTTCTTCCAGGCATTATTCCTGATCTATGGCAGGGTCCATTTCCAATCATGTTTCCTATTTCCCCATAATTCCCTGGCAACTCATAATCCACAATTTGAAAACACCCTGTAAAGTAACTCATTAAGTTTTACATGGAAGGATATTGAATCCCAGCTTGGCTATTATCAGTTGTTTATCAGGAGGCAACATGGTTTGATGCCACAAAATTATTAGAATCCAAATTATTTCTAATAGCTCAACTTTATTGATTGTTGGAAGCTGCCCAGAATTGTTGAGAGTTGAACAGCATGCAAGTTTAATAAATTATTATAACATCAACATGAAATCACGGCTGCCAGTTCTTTAGCTGGTATTGGCCTTCATACACATAAGTGTCCTTCACAAGAAGCTAGTATGTCATAAGGTATCAGTTTGGTATATGGGCGGAGTTAAGCAGTGTCCCTTTGTAATAGAAAGAAGAAAATAGTTACTTTGTGATTTATTATTATTTGAAATTCAATCATTTTTACCAATTTACCGGATGGCTAGAGGAGAGAAAGCATCACTTCTGCTTGATGTCCCAACCAGAAGATAATTTAAAGATTTTCCCAACCTTGGTTTGGTAATCCTTTCTGGATCAGAACCTTTATTCTTGCATCCCTTTAATTTTTGACAAACTTACATGAGTAACAATAACATGGTACTTAATATTTTGCTTATTTGTCTTTTGATTTAGCAAGGGAAAAAATGCACATATATGTAAAGGTAACTTGCCCTGAATCAGACCTCCCACGTGCAATAAGTTTCAGGTCTGTGGAAAGGTGTGTTTGTAGAAGCACATAATAAATGATTATTGCAATATATTCTGTCCATCTCTAAAATCCATAGGGAATAATGGGGAAATCCTTTAGAAAATATGTCATTAAACAGCTGCATTTGTCCTGTAAAGCCTATAGTGCTTTAATAATATTCTTGACTGGTTATAAACTGCTGCTCTATGCCTAATATATTCTATTTCTTAGTATATTTGATATGCCTGAAATAAATGTCAGTAGAATTTTTATTATTACCAAAGAGAAAGCTCAGCTGCTTGCATGGCTGCAGATTTATACTATATTTACTTATCATGGAAGACATATACAGTATTGATAGTATTATGAATTTAGGCAACCTAAATGTTTTCATACAGACTATTGGCTTTTCTTCCAGTTCATGGAAGAAACTAAGTAAAAACAATGTGACATGCTCCAAGATGTAGAGAATGGTCTTTATAATGTTTACATAATTCTCTAATTGTCTTTGATCTTCAGAGGAAATTATTTCTGATAACTTTTGATATAGTCTCAGAATTCCCCTTTACCCATTTCCCCTCAAAGAAGAATGTCTGATGTAGGATATATGAGTTTATTTCAAAGCCTCTGTCAGGGTTCCAAGTAACACCCACAACGAAAAGATGACTCTGAGGCTAGAAGTTCCTCAAAGTTCCATTTTATTAGAGATGTCATATTGGCACATCTGGGAAAACCCGAATCTGAAAGCTTCCAGGTTTTCTCCACCCAAAAGAAAATGCAAGTCCCTGCCCAGCACCCACATGTCCATCACATGGTCCAGTCAATGTACCATCCCAACTGGAGATGCCTCCCAGTCACACCACTCCAGGTGCAGGGCAGGATGTCCTTGACTCTCAAAGAAAAGAATTTTATTATGGCTAGATATCTCTCCGTTCCATACAATCTCCCTTCCCAGTTTCCAACAGTACTAAATGTGTCAGCCCTAAAGATCCAAAGTAAAAGATGGCTTCCAGGACTCACAGCCTCTTTTTTTTTTCTCTTATGAAGTAGTGTGCAACATTTTTGTTTTGTTTTCAAGGAAAGTAGAACTGATACAAACTGAAAAGTCATTATTTTTTTCCCTACAGTCAGAAGGCAGCACATGGGACTGTTCGTACCAAAATTATAATGTACAGATATTGTATCTCAGAATAATCAGTACATGAGTAAACTCTCACCTTTTTAGTGGGAGGAAAAACAAAGCGGAAAGCTCAATAAATCATATGCTGCCAAGATGCTCATTAAGGAAAGCTGTAAAATTAATAAGAAGACTTTAAATTTTTCCTGTGTAAATATGTTGCTGTAAATACACCTGTTTTTGTAGACAGAGCACAATAATCTAACTAACACACCATGGCATTTTACTTATCATAAACTCATAAAACTAAGAGCAATTAATAGTGCAGATTAGCTTCCTGAAGTCTGGTATCTTCCAGATACATTGGGCAAACTCTCCTGTCAAGAATGTTCTTTTGCTGTAGGAGAGAAATTTAATTCTGACATGCCTGGAGAACAGTAGTTTGGGGGAGACCACTGTAAACCATCATAAATCAGTGGTGAAATATAAAATTTGTTACTACCAGTTCTGTGGGCGTGGCTTGGTGGGGGGTAATGTGACTGGGTGGGCGTGGCCAACTTTTTTTTTTTTTTTAACTTTTAAAACCATTTTTTCTACAACCTCTTTGGCCAAAGAGGTTGTAGAAAAAATGCTTTTAAAAGCCTCTGATGATCCCAGCTGAGTTGCCTGCTTGCCAGAGGCTGTTTTTTCTTTTAAAAGCCTCTGACGATCCCAGCTGAGTTACCTGATCGTCAGAGGTTTTTTTTTCTTTTAAAAGCATTTTTTTCTACAACCTCTTCGGCCAAAGAGGTTGTAGAAAAAATGCTTTTAAAAGCCTCTGATGATCCCAGCTGAGCCATGCAATCAATTTTTTTTTACTTTTAAAAGCATTTTTTCAGCCAAAGAGGTTGTAGAAAAAATGCTTTTAAAAATTAAAAAAAAAGCCTCTGATGATTGCCTGGCTCAGCTGGGCATGGGGGGGACGCAGGGATTTTTGCTACCGGTTCTCTGAATCACCCACCGCCATCACTACCAGATCGGGCGATCTGGTCCGGACCGGGAGCATTTCACCCCTGTCATAAATTGTATGCACAATAAATAAGGCAAATTGTATGCACAATAAATAAGGCAAAGGTTCACAATGGTTTATACATTGATTTTTCAATATTTTTTCGCAGTCTGAGTTTGAACTCCAAGTCTTTCGAATTCGAGGAGAACACGCCCTATCAATAACAAAGCTTGAGGAACACATTCTATATTTAAAAAATGAACTGGAAAATAAGTTATACAAGCAAAGTGAAGAAGCAAAGGATGCCTGTGTATCCACTGAAGATGACAACCCACCAAAGATATACAGAAATGTATGCATCCAAACAGATAGAGAAACTTTTATAAAGCCAAATGAAGATAAAACACGGATACCAAAAAATAATCAAAAAATTCCAAAGAAACTTTCCAAACCCTATTTGAATAACAGTGTTTTGGCTTCAGCTGATCGTAAAGAAATATGCAGTTCGGCCCAAACCTCAGGGAATGTTTTTTCAAAGTTGGACCAAACAGTGCCGCCTCCTCCTCCTCCACCACCACCTCCTCTTCCTCTTTCACTATCTCATTCAATCCCACCACAACCACCACCGTTGCCGACAAGCTTGAGATCTGCCCATCCACTGCCGCCGCCACCACCACCACCACCACCACTTCCTTCAGCTTTTGGTATTCCTCAGCCATCTCTACCTCCCCCATCAGGGCCACCTCCAACAGGAACAGGACCTCCACCGCCTCCACCCCTGCCGCCACCATTGCCACTTGGCTCTAATTTTTCATCAATAAGTCAAGGTCCTCGAAAACCTACAGTTGAACCCTCTTGTCCCATGAGGCCGCTCTACTGGAACAGAATCCAAATATCAGATAGCAGGTATAGTTATGTCGTCTTGCTTATACATCGAAGGTATGGGTATATTGTTTAGCCACATACATATATGCATACATACATATATACATACAAACATACCATATATACATGTGCATGGATGTGCAATTCACGAAAGAAAAAGTGAACGAGGCAAAATTATGAGAAATAGTCAAATAGATTAAGAGAAATTTGAATAATTTGTTTACACTGCTTCGTGTTATCAAATATTTTCCCCCATAACTCCTATAGTGTTCTTGTTCAGACCTATGCTTGTGGCTTACACAACAATGTCATTTGACATAAAGTATTCCCAGGTTGACCTATCATATAGTTGCGTATAAGGGCCTCAGAGAAAAGAGTGAAGGTGTTCTTGCAGCTTGTAGCAATATTTTGATTTATTTATTTTTTTACATTTTTGCTGCTATATTAAATGCATGTTAACTATTGAAAAGAGTGAAGCATTCACAAAAAAGGAAGATAATACTATAACCAATGTCTTGGTGAAATCTGACACTTTGCAAAAGCAAATTCACCCTTAAAAGTACATTTTGAATGAGGAATTGTCTTCCTTATCTACCCTTAGCAATTGCTCGTACATTTCTTTCTTAAATATTTTTTTAAAAATACCTTGGATATAATAGAATGCCAAACCTGTTTCTCATTTCCCTGCTAATTACTCTTGGTTGAAATCTCACAGAACAACATTATCCATGCCCCATAGCACCAGTCTGCGGATGACTGCTTATAAGTAAATACCATAGAGTCTGTAAAAACCTTCCCACTCTCTAGGTATGAATATGATAGCAAGTTTAATTATTTAGTGACTCAACTTATTGTCATAGAGATAGTGACATGTTTGTCAATAATATCTCATTGGTCCATTTGCTACATTGGCTTCCCTTTACCTTTCCTTCTCTTTCTTTCCATGACCATATCATGGAAAAAAAGACTAGAAACTGTATTACATGTCAGGGATAAGTAGAATGTTGTTTGAGTGACCCCTACTGGAAGGAAAATGTCAGTTGCTACTACTGAAGAAAACATTTTTTTTCTTCAGAGAAAAGCAATCTGTCTGGAATAATTTCTTTTGCTAAAAGGCAGTGGAAAATAGATGGGAAAAAAAAGACTGTTTATTTTTTCTTAGATATAGACTGAATTGTAGATTTCAGCATTTAGCAATAGATTTTGTGAACGTTACAAAAGGAATGTGGGTAGAGTATGCTAGAGTATTATGTGAGATAAAGTTTTCTTCATCTTGTTCATCCATAGCAATAGTGAGAAAATATTGATTGGTTTCAAATATTGTGATAAATTGCTAAATCATGCTTTCCTTTAATCACAATTTGTTGAAGAAGACATAGTAGTCTCGTACAAATTATTCTGATTCAATTCATCTGTCACACTAAACTGACCATGATATACATAGCCAACTATAATAATAGAAGATTTTGAAGAGTTACATTTCTACTCAAAGCTTTCCTAAAAAGAAAAGTAGTATATAGAGGAGACTGAAGACAGAAGAAAATCCTGTTGTTCATAAAATAAAATATTTGTAATCTATGAGATACCAAAACAATTGAGGTAACTGTTGGGCATTATACATTTCTTCATATGAAAAATTTCTTTCAAAAGTGATCTAACCCATCTGCAAAACATCTGTACCTTTAAGAGACAATTTATGAATGTTTCTCTTTTTTTCTTATTTTAGTGAACAGTCAATGCCAACTCTTTGGGACTCATTAGAAGAACCCAATCTTTGTGATACAAATGAATTTGAATACTTATTCTCAAAAGAAGCAGCTCAGGAAAAGAAAAAAGCACTAGCTGAATCTTATGAAAAGAAAACAAAAACCAAAAAGGTATTTTTATTTTCCAACTACTGTATTTTTAAAAAAACTAATTTTATTTTAATGATTTTGAGTTTAGCATAGAATAAAAATTACAATATCATTTAATTTAAAAAAAAAAAACTGTGGCCAAGGAATACAAAAATTGGACAAAAGTAATCTGTTTCTGATTCGCCAAGAATGTTTATGAAAGCCAGCATCTGGATTAATTTTTTTCAGACTTGTTTCAGGCTGATAATTAGCCCTTTAAAATAGTACTTCCATCAAATAAAGAACATGACTGTTAGTACCATATCCTTTCATTTCACATAACTGTAACCTAAAATTAAATCTTCCTTGGTACATATGCCATGATATTTTGGCATTGCCCCCAACTAAATGTATGAACCTGCTTTTACTTTTAATACCAATCAGGCAACAGAAATTCAAAGTTATTTTTAAAACACTGGTTCATATTTTACAATCTTCTCTAGATGCTAAATATGAATTATTTTGCTTTGAAAGAAAACAAAATTAGATAGAATGAATCTATATTTTGCACAGAACTCTCACTTATAGCAATAGATTGGTATTATTCTACCTTTCTTAAAATAAAAACTGGATTCACACATATGGGTTATTTGATTGTAAAATAAGATGTATTTATGCAATTCACTAAGCCATAATTTACAATGAAACCAAGTTACATGTATAGTTTTGATACTAATCACTAAGGGTCTAAACAACACATGATCAGAAATTAAATGTGGTCAACACCGCCATTCTGTGATCTACTGTCCCCCTAGAAACAAATCATGCACTTGTCTTATTTCAACTGCATTTAAACCATTTTACTTGTCTTATCATTTGGCATCTTAGAATGATTCTGTTTTCCTACCCATGGCCTTTTGTTTATACAGTTTTGATTTGTACTAAATTGTTTGAAGGAAAAAGAGAAGGAGATGTAACTGAAAAGCAGATAGTTATACAGTAAGTACATCATGAATTAGGGAGCTACAGACAATCAAGATGTATTACTGTATTTTTCGGAGTATAAAACGCACCGGAGTATAAGACGCACCTACCTTTTTTGGTTGTTGTTGTTTTTTTTTAAGTTTTTTTTTTTAGGCAAACACACATACAAACATACAATGTACTTTCTTTGAACAGAGTATTTGGCTGGTTCACAAATTTAAACAGTGTTTAGTTATTTCAATTAAATTTACAATTTCTATATTTCCTTTTGCCATATTTATTCCTCGTCTATTTTTTTAAAAAACCAATATTACCCTTCATCCTCATCTCTAATCTTAATCAAATTCAATTTTTCCCTTCTATTCTATATTATATCCCTTCCCATTGTCATCTATTTTTATATCCATCCTCATATTGGTTAATTATGTAATATTACAATTGTTTAATACAAATTCAACATTTTTAGATAAATCAATTAGTTATATAACAATCTTTTTTGTATATTAATCAATATTAACATGAATATTCCAATTATTTCCATGCAATCCAATTTCTTACAAAGCAATTAATTATATTTACCAATAATAATAAACCAGATAATTTCCCCCATATATTCCTCCAAACCACAACTTAACCATTTCTGCTTTCAATACAATATACAATTAATAGTATCTCAATTATTACAATTCCCTAGTTAAATAGAGCTTTTTTTCTTTTGTGTTTTAAAATCTTGAACTCTCCTCTTTTGCCCTTTCTCATTGTTTGCACCTACCTTTTTTGATGAGGAAAAAGAAATCTCTCCCTGCCTCATTTTGTCATGTTGCAGCAAAGAGCCTGCTTTACTTTCAGTTTCATTTTTTCAGCATAGCTAGGGGAAAAAAATCTGCTCCAGCACTCTTTGCAGCTAGCAGCAGAGCCCTGCACAAAATAGCTGAGAGCAAATCAGCTGAGAGTCGGGAGGCCGATCTAATCAACTTGTGCTAATTAACCTATGCTGAAGCTGAAAGGGGCTGTTTTTTCTTGCTGTTTGCTTACAAGAAGGTAACTGCTGCTTGGCACAGGCCAAAGGGTGGGGGCCAGCGGGTGGGCATTATACATTTGGTGTATAAGACGCACCTAAATGTTCACCCCCTTTTGTGGGGTAAAAAGGTGTGTCTATACTCCGAAAAATACGGTAGTTACTAGTATCTTGATACTAGTATCTTTGCGAGGTTTTTCAGAAGTGGTTTGCCATTGTCTCCTTCCTAGAGCTGAATGAAACTGACTGATTCAAGGTCATCCCTCTGGCTTCATGTCTAAGGTTGGACTTGAACCAACGATCTCCCATTTCTAGCGTGATGCCTTAACCACTAAACAAAACTGGCCTTCTCGATGTATTGTAATGAGGCCTTAAGGAAGCATATCTGCTATTCACCTTCTGCTGTGAGAAAGTATATGTATGAAAAGTATGGTTATTACCTGAAATGCTGAGTGAAAATTGTCAAATACATAGCTCAGATAATATTTTTTGAAATTTAAATAACTCAGTTTTGCTGAGGTTTATTATTTGCCATATGCCAGTTTATCTTATGGAAGCTAATGTTACCAAACTGAGGCTATTATACTTTCCTTGTACAAGAAAGGGGATAATTTGTGTCACCTGCATGATATAAATAAGGCTCCATCCATCATTTAAAGCTTTTTAGTGCGGCGATTACTATATCAGTGACAGAAGATAATGGGTTTTCTGCCTCTAACTGGCTTCATATAATTAGTAACACATGTTCTCATTTACAGTGAATGTCAATATTTTGAATGAGGAACATTTTTATATTTTAAGAGAATGTCATCAGGTTTATTGCTTATTTCATAACTATGGAAGATTATAAATGACTATTTCATGGTATTTCTGAAAACGATTTGAGAAGTCTGCATCAGCATTTTATAACATCCTCTAGGCATCAGTACCAGAATTTGACCAGTGTAATCTTGCTGTGAGTTTCAGCAGCCTTTACAATGTAAGATCATTGCCAGATGTCACACAATTGTTCAAACATTTGTATTTATTTATTCAAACATTTTCTAAACTCCCTGTTCCTTAATACATGACTTAAAAGGTATTCTTTGGGCAGTTTATTATAGATAAACTCTTGCATTCTGTAGATTTGTAACAAATAGGTTTTCAGATGAGAAGTTATTTATAGACTATGTGATTTTAACACTGTTATATTTTTGCAAATTGCTATTATTCTGCTGTAATAAAGGAAAATTATTCTTCTCCCTGCTAACAGTTATGTTATGAAGTTATGTTATGTTCTGTTATGAAATTGTTTTTAGTTGTTTATTTATTTTTTTGCACAACAATACCAAACCATGTTAGTGTTGCAAGAGTTCTGTATCTTGGTTCTGACAAGCTATTCTCTTTGAGCTTTAGTTATTCTGAAATCAACATCTGTGGTTTTAAATTATGTTAAAAATAACCCTCAATAGTTATTTGCAATTTAAAATGGGATAAATGGGGAGAGGCTATGCGAGTTCATTCTGATCGTATCTCTGGGGCATACTTACAATTTGGAGAAGCATCACAATAAAAGTTGTGGAAAGATTTTATTTTATTTATCTAAAATAATATGGCAAGCAACGAAAAAAGAATCAGTAAAGGTTCTAACCAAACTATGCTAACAAATCTGGAAAATGACACAAGAACCAACAGATCGGAAAAGGTTAATCTATATACCAATACCAAAGAAAGGAGATTGAGCAGAGTACAGATAGTTCTTCAGAATAAAAGGCTCTGAAAGAAGCTTCAGAAAAAAAGTCTCCAAACAGCTTCAGAAAAAAGCCTTTTTTTTCTGAAGCTCTGTTTCGGAGGCTTTCAGAGGCAGAAAAAAACGTTTTTTCTGAAACAGAATTTCAGAAGTTTCAGAGGCAGAAAAAAAAGCAAGGGACGGAGCTCATAACCAACAAACCTGTTGCTAAAATTCACCACTGGGGAACAGTTGATTGGGGGTATTCCAGGAGGCCGATCCACCCACCAATCAGCTGTTTTCTTATTTTCCTTCCCCAAAACTAAGGTGCGGCTTATACTGCGAAAAATATGGTAGTTACTAAATTAATATAGAAAGCTATAAATATAATTTTTTTCTGACTTGATTGGATATTTTTATTTCCAGATTATCAAATTATTGGATGGGAAGAGATCTCAAACTGTAGGAATTCTGATATCCAGTTTACATCTGGAGATGAAGGACATAGAACAAGGTAAGCATTGCTTTTATTTTAATGGAAATGATATGCCTGAACATTTTTTTAATTTTATATCCCTTTAATAACTTGACTCAGTATATCCATGTATAAATGTTATATCACGCATTACATCTCTGTTGAACGTTTATTACATTTTTTTTTCAGTTATTAGTAATAGTTATTCAATATGTACCTTCTCCCTTCCGTCAGAAGATCCCTGCTGGTCTACAGCAAGAGCACATCTTGCGCGCATCCTGTCATCTGAAGATTAACCAAAATGCCTTGAAAAACCTTAAATCATAAAAATTATTATCTTCTGCAACCGTTTTTCACATATAACTGAAATCCAGAAATTCTTGGTTCTATTTGAAAATTGCCTCCAGGCTTTTCCATATAATTTATGTTTTAATAAGTATTCTGCTCTCAAATCACAGTTGGCTTAGTGATAAGAAAAATAAATATCTAGTCATGTAAAGGTTCTATATTATGTGAAATTAATCTTTAGGAAAACTAAAGTTTGCTGTGGAAACCTAACACATCTAAAATAAATCTTTAAAAGGGGAATTCTTAAGGGTGGTTTTCTTTTCTATTCTGACACTTTTCTACTTCTAATCCTCTATAAACCAATAACTGACATATTTCACAATTTCTATATAGTTAAGCAATATGTTGATCCATACATCTGGGAGACAGATGTTTAAGTTTGCATTTGATTACCAGCCAACAAATTGAAGACTGCCACATTTGTGAAAAAAATCAGCCACAGATGTTTTTTAGGAGAGAGAGTGGCATTTGTTGTTAATAGAAAAGGTAGATCAGTGCTGTCTGTCTTGTTTAAAGGGATTAATATTAGATAAGGAGAGTAGATAGCAATTTTATGGTTTGATTTGACTTCAGAATCATAAAAAAATATGAAAATAGTTCTAGGCCAGTTTAAAATAGGTTTTATGCCTCATAAAATGAGATATTTAATGCAGTAGGTGGTTCATTCTCAGTTTATTGTCTTCTCAGATGGAATCAAAATGATTCTCCTTTACTCCTATTATTTCCCCATTGACAAGAAATCACCTTGTAATTCTTCTTGTTTCAAATTAATACTTAATATGAAATTTTAAAATGCTATTTAACAGTTTTTGGACATTTTTAAGACCTGTTCATTCCAAAAGATTTGCCAGAATCCTTTTATTATTATTGTTGTTGTTGTGGATCAGCTGAGATTAAATTTCCCACTCACCTCCCTGCTCTTTTCCACAATATAAGCGTATTACCTCCGTCTTTGCTTATGATTTTATAAAACTGTTGAATTATCCCCAGCATTTAAGACCACATTTATATCTAAAATAGATTGCTGTGTTAGAGCATTTTTATAAAACAGTAAAATGGTAGAAGGAAGTTTTAGTGGTACTGTTATTAAAATGCATCTGAAGTCATTAATTGATTTTTTATTTTTTTTTTGCATATTTTGCTCATTCAGAATTTAACATTTAATAATAGAACTGGTCTTATGAGCTTTACACAAGTTTGGACAGGATGTGTTGATTGCTGACATTGTTTCTTCTTTGATTGCCTTTTTTTGGGGGGGGTCTGGTGCTGGTTTCTGCTTCTCTGGGTTTGATCAATAATAGTTTTGTTAGCATTACCAATTAGTTTATCAACCGTATCAATTTTTGGAAGCTGCAGATTTTTCTGACTTGATTCTGGCTCTGATGTAAATTATAGACTAAGACATGTGGGCTCCAGTTTGGGTAACTAGTTTTTTGTTTTTTTTAATTTGATTTATATGCCGCCCTTCTCCGAAGACTCAGGGCGGCTTACAATGCGTTAAGCAATAGCCTTCATACTTTTGTATATTTGATACAAAGTCAGCTTATTGCCCCCACAATCTGGGTCCTAGTTGTAGATAACCACATATTTTTAATGATATTTATAGCTCTTAAAACTACAGAACACTAAAATGTTATTTCCTTTTGAATAAATGTATAGTAAACTTTAAATCTTGTCTAGTCGTTTCTTATCCATGTTCTTTGTGTTGGGTTTAAAAGAAAATAGTGAAAGTTTGCAATTAAAATGTCCTATTAGTACACTCAGAGGAAACATTTGAGTAGAAGTATATGCTGTTCATGTTGCCTTATTGTGCAATATAGCTGCCAAGTATTTTTATGTCTGTTTTTGAATTTCTGATTCTGATCTGCTTTTTATCCATGCTGACAAGCATTATGTGCTAGTGGGGGGAATATTGCACTAATTATCCTTATATATATATATAAATTATTATGAGTGGGGACCTCATTATGAGAGGTATTATGAGAGGTAGACGAACCCAATAAAATTACTAGCTTCCACAGCTTGTGGGGTTTTTTCCCCTTTGTGAAGTCTATATAACATATTCAAATCCAGCTGCCCTAGTCAGAGGAGAAGCTCACCAAGATTACTGTAAATGCAAAATAAGATTTCAATAGTGATTTCAGGATCTAACTTCTAAATATGTCAGTCCAACTGCCAAAAAAAGAGAGGTTGGTCACTACTGATACGCAGTTAATTAAAATTTAAGATTATTTTACTAGGAGAACTTTCTGTCAATATAGTCATTTTATGTTTGCCAAGATAGCCTAGTGTCACTTTATTTTTGAAAGGAACATCAATTTTTTAAAAAAATGCCCCATTCCAAATGCAATTAAATTAGCCTTCAGCAGAAATGCTTTTTACTGGTTCTACCTGAAAGAGTAATGATCAAGTTGTTTCTGAGGTAACTGATGTTCTGTCATTATCATAGTACATAGTATGGGATCATTCTGCAGTAATGGGTCCATAAATTAATCAATTTGTTCTACAGAAAAAAATATGACTGAATCAGGATTACCTAATATAAGTGCATGTAATTTCATAACGCTTATATATTCAATGTAAATTCAGTTGTAAGCAACCAGGAACAGGAGTTGAGTTCCAAGCATTTCAAGTTTATTACATGCTACCTATACAAAAGAATCTAATTGACTAATGGTCAAGCAAATTGGCACTAGATAAGAGTCAACAGAATTCACAAAGGATGGATTTAGTGGGTGCAAGGGCACTCCAAATTGAAGGGGTATTTGACCTCGCTATCGGACTCAGCCTGATCATCTCCTACAGTAAGCATCCGTTCAATGCAATATCTTAAACAGATATCATATTTATTTTTTATTTATTTTTCACCTTTATTATTGTTTTATACATAATACTCCTTCCTCCTATTTTCCCCACAACTAAGGTGGGTTGGGCTGAGAGATATGATAGATCTTCAGAGAGACAGATGGTAAATACAGAGATGGAGACATATTTTTTTTTTTGACAGGTGATACAGGAATTTAAAAATAGCAGGGGAAATCACCTGATTTTTCTCAAAGAAAAGTTGATTTCCCCAAAGTTCTCTTATTTACCCCCTCAACCAATACCACCTTTGAAAAAGAGCCTTGCACCTCTGATGGTGCAATTGGGAACTCCATAGACTGGCAAGTAGGAAAGTGATAAGAAAATCATTATACTCAGACCATTCCGATGTATAATTATTTATATAAACAATTTATATAGCCTGATTCCAACTTAATTTTAACAGGATTGTTAAAATCTATATTTTAACTAACAGGATTAGTTTTTCAATCTATATTTCTTATATTCAAGAAATAACTCTGTGTAACTCTGAACTCTCATTCACCTTTCTTGGCATAAAAAGGTAATGGTTTAAAAATTACAATAGAAAATATTTTGATTAATAGGGATGCACAGTTAACATTAAATTTACTTTTTCATCTTTTCAGAACAGTGAAAGCTCTATTATATATGCAAAACCTCTATTAATAGAAAAATTGTCCTTCAGACTGATTATGTGGGGGAGGGGTATAAATTTGTTCAAAATAATAAGAGATATTAGGTATTTCTATTGTGAATGATGTCTCAAACTGATAAGGTGATCAATATCCCACAAAGTTGGGAAAAGAACAATCAGCAAGAAAGGGATAAAACAGGACTATTTCTCATTTTTTTTCCTGTTGTATTTCTCATACAACTCTGAGTTTCTAATAAGGGACATTTTACATGCAAATGATATTTAAGTAACGTATCTGTGCAATATGCAGATAGCTAAGTGGTGGGACGCCACTTGGCTCAGTGGCTAAGAAGTTGAGCTTATTGATCAAAAGGTCGGCAATTCAGTGGTTTGAATCCCTAGTGCCGCATAATGGGGTGAGCTCCTGTTACTTGTTCCAGCTTCTGCCAACCTAGTAGTTCGAAAGCACGTAAAAAATGCAAGTAGAAAAATAGGGATCACCTTTGATGGAAAGGTAACAGCGTTCCGTGCACCTTTGGCGTTTAGTCATGCCGGCCACATGACCACGGAGACATCTTCGGACAGCACTGGCTCTTTGGCTTTGTAATGGAGATGAGCACCGCCCCCTAGAGTCAGGAATGCCTAGCACATATGTACGAGGGGAATCTTTACCTTTATCTTTAAGGCTACGGTTTATATGTTTATTTATATCCCATCTTCGTTACTTTTACAAATAATTCAAGGGAGGTTCTACAACAACTCTGTGAAGTGGGTTGGGCTGAGAGAGAGTGATTGGCCCAAAGTTACCCAGTTGGCTTTCATGGCTTGAACTTGAACTAGATTTGACTCACTTCTGCTTCTATTTCATTAATATTAAGCATGTTACTAATTATTATTTCATAATTAATTATGATCAATATTAAATATTGATCATTAATATTGATTTAATATTAATAATATTAAATATGTTGATCATGGGATACTTTTTTCTGCTTTGTGTCATTTATGTTGTCCTCTATAAATTATTGTAAATTATCTAATCATCTAGCATGTATCCTACTGATCCAATCTCCAGAGCGGATGGTCAGTAAAATATGTATTTTTAAAAATAGAGAACTGTAGCCTTCATTTTTTTACAGTGTGTTATTCGGGGAGAGTTATAACATTGGCAGCATACAAGAAGCATTCAACTGAAAAAGAAAACATTCCCCAAGTGTTTTTAGTTCATGGCAACAGATAAGCAACAAAGTCAGTTAACATATTAATGTGTTATTTTATTATTTCGACAGCTGTACTAAATATGGATGATTCAGTAGTTGACCTAGAAACATTGGAAGCACTATATGAAAATGTAAGTAATGCTGATAGTTTATTTGAGCTTTAGAAGTAAAACCAGATGAATCTCTCCCTTTGGCACAAGGCTTTGGACCATTATCTTTCACCAAAAAGTCTATTAAGAGCCAGTTCAGCATACAAAACAGCATCATTATATGAATGTAATACAAAACATCAAAAACTGCCCATAAAACTGCATTCTGAACCAGCTACAGCTTCCAAATATTCTTCTGGGGCAGTCCTATGTATAGCACCCTACAGTAATCAAAACCACAATGACAGTCCTTTTCTCCAGCCATAGTTGTTACCTGTTCATCAAGCAGTAGCCCTAAATCATTCACTGACTCCAACCAGGGAAGTGCATCTTCTGATGGAAAATCACTGGAGCCAGGCAGCCTTAGCCACTCATTTTGCCAGGGTTAAGCTGAAGCCTGTTCAGCCCCAGTCCAGACCTTCACAGCCTTCAGGCACTGGAAAAGGTGTTCATAATACCGATTGGGCCAATTTGTGTATTTTGTAATAATCTGTATTAAATTACTTAAAGTATCTTCATCATTTTAGAATATTTTAGAATTAAGTACATCAAATAATAATAATGATAATGGTAATGGTAATAATACCAGCTTTATTGTCATTGTACGTGTATACACAGTATACCCATACAACGAAATTCATTTAACACCCAAAGACCAGGTTCAACCCCACAGGAGTTATGGATCTCAGATTTTGGACACATTCTATAAATTAGCCCATCTGAAGTACCTTGGTTTTAAAATTATTGTCCTAAAATGCATTGTTTCACCCAGTTAGAACTTACAGACACAAGAATTATAGTAATATGCAGATTTTGATCATAAAAACAATATTTTCTTACAAGCAGATTTTTTTTTGCTCTGAATTGGAGAAGAGAATGGAGAGTAGACTGGCTGAAACTCAATCTGAGCTTAGCTAGTAATGTCCAGCAAATAATAGACCAGATATTTTGCAAATTCACTTTATCTCAGCAGGCAAGGTCTCTAGAAGGCTAGTAGCAGAACTGAAGAAATAAATACTGCTGCACAGAGGCTTGAGTTTCAAGGAAACTCTACAAATTATTTCCCCCATATTATTGCTGGACTAATTGTTTAAAGTTGGTTAACTGATTTTTAAGATATTTCTAAAGCAACTGTCAGATGTGAAAAAACAGGACCACACGTGAACACACTCTCACCCATCACAATTCCCCACCCCTAAAACCATTCAAACATCCACACAACAGACCAAGTAATGCTGTCCAACAGCTTACTGATGGTGGCCCTTTAAATCATGGTTGAGTGCAATTATAGCTCTGGGATAAAAACTATTCAGAAAACATGTGGTCCGAGTTTTAATTGTTCTGTATCTTCTGCCAGAAGGCAACAGTCCAAAAAGATTGTAAGCAGGATGGGAAGAGTCTCTGACTTAGTCACAATACTTTAATAGAGCAACAGATATCAATACGCCTATACATTATGGTTTAAGAATCCCATTTCTTAAATGACTGCTGAAGTTGTTTCTCTGTTTTGTTACAAAACAACATTTTTTTTAAATAATAAAGCATTGGAATTGGATGATTGGATTAATAGGTATCTCTGATCACATCTTGAGAAGAATGAAAGAGAAAAAAATACCTTTTTTACAGGAAGCTTAAGAAATCTAATTACTTGAATTATTATTATATAAACCGTATCTTTGTACAGCTATACAAGCTCATCAATTTATCGAGATTCCCAAACTAAAGTTTATATCTATGTTTCCATAATGAATTAAAATATATATATCATAGAATAACTTTTTGTTATTCAGAGATCAGTGTATACAAAGTTTATGTATGTTGTTAGTAGTGTGTATAACAGAACAGAAGATTGTACAAACAATGTAACTGGTTCAATCTAGAAAGAGAAATATGGTAATGGAAGACATTTTTTTCTTGTAGGTCAAAAGCAGTATATAATATGTGCTGCATATATTTTCTTTCTTTGTACTTTTAAACAAGTCCAATTTTTGCACCATACAAATGTAAGATGATCTCAGTTTTGATTGTAATCAACTACACTTGTCAAAGTTAATTCAATCTTTCATACTTCCAAAAGTAGAAGTATGCTTCTACTGCCAGATAAGAAAGATAATCTCATTGTTATTTTTGTCACTGACTCTACAGAGAGCACAGAAGGATGAACTGGAAAAAATAAAGCAGCATTATGACACTTCAACAGAAGAAGAAGTTAAGCTTCTGGACAAACCTGAACAGTAAGACCAGATGGGCAAGGTGCCCCATGTATTTCCCAGTCATTCAAAAGAGTCTTGAAAAGCAGAATGCTTGGTACAGCATTATGACAGAACAACATGTCTGAAGGAATTCCCAAATGCCCCATTGTTGTTTGTTTTTCATTTCTCTTTGGTTGAGTATGATTCTTAGTGACTTCATAAACATGTTCACATAGTTTTTTTGACAATAGTATAGAAGTGGTTTGGCTACTGCTGTGCTCTGGAAGCTTTAATGTTTCCCAGTCTAGCCTATAATCCTGACATATTTTGCTTGTTTCCAAGCCGTTTCCTAGTCTGGCTCTCCTTAGCTTTTACAGTTAACCCAAGATCAGCTTCAGACTGCCTCCTGATGTAGATAGCCCAGTCTTAGGAGATGTATATCTGTTCTTTTGCTAAAAATCTCAGAATGCAGAGGCAGCTTCTTCCGTTGCTAAATCTGGGAGGAGAACTTCTTAATTAATCAAAATATTTGCTATTGTAATTTCAAAGCGTTACCTTTTTTATGCCAAGTAAGGTGAATGAGAGTTCAAGTTACCCAGAGTTATTTCTTGAGTATAGGAAATGTAGATTTTAAAAACTAATCCTGTTAGTTAAAATATAGATTTTAACAATCCTGTTAAAATTAAGTTGGAATCAGGCTATATATTTGGTTAAGGACACCCCTAATTGCTATCAATTCTTTCCGTAAACAAAAAAAGCACTGGAAATTCAACCCAGATTGAAATTCTGTGCTTTTAGGAAGTTTTTCCTACATCCCAGTCATCTCAGTTGCAACCTTTTGGAGATGGTAGAAAATGCCACAAGATGTTGTATGGTAATTGCTGCTGCTGCTCCTGTTACTAAAATAACATGTTTGATGCCATGTAGCATCAAGAGAAGAGTTTAAGGCAACTTATCTTTCCCTTGCTGTCAAGTGGAAGTATTTCATCCATTTTTTTTAAAGAGGGTGAAATGGGAGAGAACTTTATGCTTCCAGTGATGGTGAGAAAAGCACTAAAATGCTATGGTATGTGGTTTTACATTAGAGATGTATCCTGGTTCAACGATACAGCAGGAGAGAAAGATTCTTCTGGGTGCTAATCAAAGAGAGCTTTCATAGCCACAGAAGGAGCTGATCAAAACCTGCTGCTGTTCAGATGTTTTGAAACTGCAAAAGCTATGTTGGGAAAGAATTCAAGGGTTGGAGTCTCAGTGCATCTGGCAAAGACTTTTTCTCAACTGTCAGAAATGAAGTAGATACTGCTAGTTTATATGGCAACCTCCCAAACTTGCTTTTTATTTAAGAAAATCCACAAATATGTATATAACATCCAGTTTGGCTTTCTAAACTATTCCTATTGAGTGAGAAGCTTAACATGGAACAACACTTATATTTTACCTGTTATATTGAATCCACTGAAAGGTAGAAAGGATATGAACACTTCCAGCGTATTTAATCCTTATAGAGATATAAAGATCATAACAAAAGAAGACACTACGCTAAATTAGAGCCAGAATTCTAGTTCAGTTTAATTAATGCATAACTGATTAAAACGTTGATATCCTTTGTCTCTATAGAAATCTTCATGATTATGATATAATGAAGTTTGGTTATTCTCAAGATAAGAATTGTTCTTGAAAGGAGTAAAATAATCTCAAACAGCAACCAATTCCCAGCAAAGTAAAATTAGTAAAGTGATTTGCTAATAATAATAAAAACTAAATTTCAGATAAGGAGCCTTTACAGGATCTAAAGCAGGGGTGTCAAACTCAATTTCATTGAGGGCCACATTAGGGCTGTGGTTGACCTCGGCGGGCCAGGCAGGCATGACCAACTGAATGGGTGTGGCCAACTGAATAGCATGGCCAGCTTAACACCACTCCCCAAACTGCTGGCATGTTTCTTCTTCGCATTGGGTAAACTGGGCCAAAGCCACGCTGGCCTGATCTTTCCTCTTCGCACTGGGTAGACTGCGTCAAAGCTATGCTGGCCTGATCTTTCCTCTTCACATATGGTAGACTAGACGGCCCCGTGGACCAGATCAGACCACATCGCAGGCCGAATCTGGCCTATGGGCCTTGAGTTTGACACCCCTGATCTAGAGCAATGTAAAAGCTTGGCATATTCAGTATATCATCATCATCATTGCTGTTATCATTATCATCATTTTAACCACTGTCTATCCACTGTAGGATGAAGGCCTCTTCTGTATGTTTCCAACTAATATGATCCTGAGCTTTCTTTTGTCAATTGGGCCTGCAATACTTGCTGATGTCGTCAATCCATCTCTTTCATGGATGCTTTTTATCAAGTGGGGTCTATTCTATGATTGCCCTGGTGGTCCACTTGCCATCAGTTCTTCTTGCTATGGACCAACCCATTTCCATTTCAGTTCTTTTACTCTCTTGATGATATCGTATACTTTCGTTTGTGCTCTAATCCATGTGCGGGTTTTCCTATCTTGTCTTGTAATGCCAAGCATGTATCTTTTCATGGCTCTTTGCGCCATTAAAAGAACTTTTGTATTGATTGTGAGATTAGTGTCCATGTTTCACCGGCATATGTTAGAGCACATAGGACACACTGATCAAAAACTTTTCTCTTCATGCATAGGGGAAGTTGTTCTTGAAAATTACACTTAGCTTGCTGAATGCCTGCCGACCACATTTAACACGTCGTTCAATTTATTATTTTATTTTATTTTATTTTATTAAATTTCTATACCGCCCTTCTCCCGAAGGACTCAGGGCGATGAACAGCCAGAAGATAAAACACAGAAATACAAAAATTTAAAATAGATTAAAAACAAATTAAATAATTTGGCTGAATTTAAAATACCCCATAATTTAAACAGATTAAAATTTGTATTTAAAATTTATATTTAAAAGGGGAGAAGATTTAGGCCAGGCCAGCTTGATGAAATAAAAAAGTTTTAAGCGCGCGATGGAAGGTGCGCAAATCCGGGATCCTCCGTATCTCTGGGGGGAGCTCGTTCCAGATCGTAGGTGCCCCCACAGAGAAGGCTCTCCCCCTAGGGGCCGCCAGTCGACATTGTTTGGCCGACAGCACCCGGAGGAGCCCCTCTTTATGGGAGCGTACTGGCCGGTGGGAAGCTATTGGTGGTAGCAGGCGGTCCCATAGATAACGAGGTCCTAAGCCATGGAGCGCTTTAAAGGTGATAACCAGAACCTTGAAGCGCACTCAGAAGACCACCGGGAGCCAGTGCAGCTCGCGCAGGAGAGGTGTTACATGGGAGCTCCACATTGCTCCCATAACCACCCGCGCGGCCGCACTCTGCGCCAGTTGGAGCCTCCGAGTGCACCTCAAGGGGAGCCCCATGTAGAGCGCGTTACAATAGTCCAGACGAGAGGTGACGAGGGCATGTGTGACTGTGTGTAGGGAGTCCCGATCTAGAAAGGGACGCAGCTGGCAGATCAGGCGGACCTGATGAAAAATCCTCCCGGTCACGGACTACCATACATAATAATTTTTAATTATTGTGAAATTCACTAGTAGTGAAATTTCCACTATTCTTCATTGTCCGTCATTTTTTCATTAGTTTCATCAGAGATATTTGGTACTGTACGAAGTGTTTTTCTGGTGGTGCTATAGATGTAGCAGATTCAATGATGTTTTTGACTATTTGCTCATTTTGGTCTGTAATGTTCTTGTTTAACTCTTCCAAATCCTGCAATAGAGCAATTTGACAGATTAATTTCAAAATTGCTTTTCTCCTCTAACAGCATATCATTCCTCTAACAGCGTATATTCTTTATTTTTATTTTTGTGACATCTTCATCATTTTTATATGCTGTTTTCGACAGATTATCTTCACTTTAGCTTGTACCATTCTATGGTCACTTCCAACGTTAAAACAATTGATGACAGTACAATTGCAGAATATGGTTTTATCATTCGATATGATGTAGTCAATTTCACTTGTGTACCCAGATGGACTCTTCTATGCCCATTTTCTGCTATCTTTTTTCTTGTAAAATGTTCCTGTCCTTCAGCCAAATCTACTAGACTGTTGCCTCTATTATCTCGTTCACCACTTCCATATGGGCCAGTTGCTTTTTCTCCAGGTATTGTTTTTCCTATTCTTGCATTAAATTCACCCATTAATATTTTGTATCAGCATTTTTCTTTGTCTTGAAGGTGGGTCACATCATCATAAAACTCTTCAACCTCATCATCACTATAGCTTATTGTTGGTGCGTACGCTTGGATGATTTGAAGCTTGTATTGTTTGTTCAATTGAATGAAGCATTGGGCTACTCTGTCTGATATACTTTCAAATTTTACTGAAATCTTTCAGTTTTTGGTTGAGGAATAAACCAACTCATCATTCTTCAGTATCTCTAATGTAGAGTAAATGCCCAGTCCTGTCAAGTTCAACTAAATTTTCATCTTTTCATCTTGTTTCACATAATCCAATGATATCCCAATGCATATTGTTAGTTCAATCAGCAGTTCTAGTCGAGCATCTATTTTCATTGTTCGAATGTTGACCTTTCCTATGTCCAAAGTCCAAAGGTAGCCTGATTTAACCCAGTGATTCTTAGCATTCTCTGCCTTCAGGCAGGTCTTCCCGCTGCCATGGGTAGCTGCCCTAGGGCTCCCAGGGGATGAACGGCCATTTTTGAGGTTGTATTGGCATGTGGAGGAATAGACCATAATCTGCCATGCTAGTTCAATGTGGGTTGGCAGATGTGATCAGTGTTAGTCTGGGGTATCCATGATGGCCTGTTTCTCTTGGGAGACCTTCTGGACATATATATGTCCGATGACATAGGCCATGATTTCATTTACCCACACAAGCCCCTTCACCTTGTCAAGGCTGCAGTCATAGAAGGATAGAAGGAGACTCAATATATGCTGGACTATAATTCCAGTTATCCCCAAACAAGGCAATTAACTGTGATAGTATAGATGACTAATGTTGTGATCATCATACCTAAAAAGTGCTATATTAGCCTCAAGACTCTAAACATCAACTTTTGAAAGAAGTTTAAGATACAATCTTGTATCTACTTTGCTACCCTATGGAAGTCAGCAGGATTTACTTTTAAGTAGATCTGTATTATTGAAAGTAGAATACTTACGTTATGTTATTAAATAGAATAGAATTAAAGTTTTTATTTTGAAGATTAATTATTTTTAGGAATAAGCCTGAGAATGATAAAATTGTCATAGAATACTTACTCATTGGACTCTAATCAAATGTCACATAACCACAATAGGACTAGAACTTTTGTTTTTAGTTTTGTTTCTCTCCAGCAGAGGGTGGTATCTCTACCTTTCTATTTCTTTCAGACTGTATTATTGTGCTGGAATATTGAATTTATCTTTTTCAATAAAGAGAAAAAGATTGTTTATTTTACCAACAATTTAAATCATAGCAAGAACTCATTTTAAGTGTTGTAAATATTTCTCTGATACGTTGGATTATATAATGTAAAATGCAATCACTTGATTGAAATATACATGATTGCTCCTATTTTCACAGATTTTTATATGAGTTATCCCAGATCTCCAACTTTGCTGAACGTGCCCAGTGTATAATCTTTCAATCTGTCTTCAATGAAGGGATAATTGCAGTTCATCATAAAGTTGACATTGTTCATCATGTTTGTAAGGTACTTGGGACAAAATTTGCAGCATTCTAAGGTTTATTATACTTCACTGAACATGACTATTTCTGAGTAAAAATGGTAGAAATTTGATTCAAGTCTAGATAAAGTAATATATAATGTTGTGCTTCCTTACAGATGTTATTTTCAGATTTTATAGTTTTTATGAATACCAAGTATTTTAAGTCAAAATTACTTTCTATTAAAAATTAAAATAATTAAAGGTTTAATAATAGCAATAGCATTTAGATTTATATACCGCTTCATAATAATTTACCGCCCTCTCTGAGTGGTTTACAGAGTCAGCATATTGCCCTCAGCAATCTGGGTCCTCATTTTACCAACCTCAGAAGAATGAAAGGCTGAGTCAACCTTGAGCCATTCAGGATTGAACTCCTGGTAGTCAGGAGTGTTAGCCTGCATTCTAACCACTGTGCCACCATGGCTCTATAATAATAGGCCCAAAGTCATCCAATTAACTTTCTAGCTGATAATTGTTGAATTCCTAATTCAATATTCTCCTAACTTGAGCAATGTAGACTCTTAAAATAATTTCATGGCTCAGAATTGATTTTATTAATTATAGAATTATAGCATTTCTATGTTAATATATTTCACTGTATAAATTTATAAAGAAAAGCTAACATTAAAATATTTCTTCCTGTAATATTTTTCTGATATTATAAATTCCTGCTACATTTTTCAGGAGTTGATCACAATGAAAAGTGTGAAAAATATTTTAGCTTTGGTTCTGGCTTTTGGAAATTATATGAATGGAGGAAATCAAACACGTGGTCAAGCAGATGGATTTGGCTTGGAAATACTTCCCAAACTAAAAGATGTTAAGAGCAGAGTAAGTACAGTATGCAGTTTAAATGAAGATTTTTAGTTGAATTCAATCTTTCAATTAGCAAGCAATGTTTTGTGGATAGACATCTGCTCCTAACAGAAATGACACTAAGTGGTGATAGGTCATAGAAGAGGTGTGCATTCTCCCTGATGCAGTTTTTTGTTATGTACCCTATGATCCTGCAGAAGATGACCCAGGACCCAGTCTCATCTCTGTACCAATCAAGCATTCCATGTCCTGGTTTCTCTTCCCCACCTCCATTTGCTCTTCTAGCACACTTTTCTTTCCTTTGATATAACAGGTAAAAGTCTTTGAACTACCTGAGAGCTAAACTTTAGTTTTACTTGACATCTTAATTTCTCCAGGGGGGCTCAAATAGTGGAAAGGAGAGAGAGAAAGAGAGAGAGGGAGGGAGAGAGAGAGGGAAGGAGGGAAGGAGGGGTGGGGCCGGGTATGGCAAATAATTGAACAACTAGTTCTCTGCCCTAATGACTGGCTGGGTAGGCGTGGTTGGAGGGGGTCATGTGACCTGGCAGGAGTGAGTGATGTCAAGTTGGCGATGCCCACCCAGGATTTGTGGCTCCCGGTGTTTTGTTTTCTGCGGGAAATGGTTTCAAATGGCTCTTTGAGTGTTTAAAGTTGCTGACCCTGATCTATACACATGGTAATTGAGGTATATCTTTTATTACTCTATTTTACTATTAATAGTTGTTAAATGAATCTGGCCTCCCCATTGATTTTGCTTGTTAAAAGGTCACATAAGGTGATCACATGATGCCATGAGACTGCAACCGTCATAAATATGAGTCAGTTGCCAAGTGTTTGATTTTTGATCAGGCGACCATAGGGATGCTGCAACGGTTGTAAGTGTGAAGTCGTTTTTTTCAGTGCTGTTGTAATTTTCACTAAACAAACTGATGTATGTTGAAGATTACCTGTCATTAATCTGAAATGCTTGTTTTTTGCTGGGAGGAGTGATGATGGTGGAGTGGGATTTCTATGTTAAATTAAATGATGGTCTGAAAAGCATAGTGCCTACTCCTGACACTCCATCACTATGAATGTCCTAAAATTTTTGATATTGTTTGATTCCACATTATATAGAAAGACACATCAGGTAGTGATTTGAAGCAAGGGGCCATGGGAAAGGAATTAATAAACAAGAAGCCATTCAGAGTGACGTCAGAAAGTAAGCCTGCTGAAGGACATATCCTTCAGAACCCTGGACAGGTCCTAGGGAAGACTACAGTATTACTAATGAGGGTTAGTTGTGACTGAATTCTTGGGAGCAGAAATGAAGAATCTGTAGATGTCCCTCATTCTGGCCCCAGCCTTTCTCTAGGCCCCGCCCCTCTATGATAATTAGGCTGTTAAAAGCTGGCAATGGTCCATAGGAGGCTTTATACACAATTCATTGTTCGTAAGGTGACCTTTAGATTTTTTTTATATCTCACCTTTATTAATGTTATAAATAATGCACGGCAGAAAACATACTTAATACTCTTTCCTCCTCCTGTTTTCCCCACAAAAAAACAACCCCGTGAGGTGAGTTGGGCTGAGAGAGAGAGACAGGCCCAAAATCACTCATCTGGCTTTCATGCCTAAAGTGGGATTAGAACTCAGTCTCCTGGTTTCTAGCCTGGTGCCTTAAACCTCTAGACCAAACTGGCTCTCTGGCCTTGATGGTGCAGTGCAATTGGAAGGAGAAATGTCTATAATTTTTTGAAAATGACTTTTCCTTTGAGGCAATTGTATTACAACAGAATGATAGATCATGCAGTGTAAACTTTGGAGATCATCTAATCCATTCCCCTGCCATGGCCATCCAGATTCTATTGCAGCACCTGCATTATCTTACTGTTACAATTTTTTTTTCTCTATGCCCAATTGAAATCCAAACAGTTTCCTGTCCTATTTTCTGGAACAACTTTGAACACATCTGCCTCACCTTTTACATGCCAACTTTTCAGATATTCAAAAGAGAGCTAACATGTCTCTTTGCAGATTTCTCTTCCCTGGGCTAAACATGTCCAGCTGATTCTTCCAACCTCTTAATGTCTTGGTTTCTTTTCTCTGGTAGCTTTTCTCCCCAAACCTAATATTCCTGTGAGAAATCTGAGAAGAATTAAAATCTCCATCATTTCTTCTATGATCGCTACCATGTTTTAAATTCAATTGGAAAAAAATTTCCATTGATACTTATATAATATTCTTGCCAAGCCCAATTACTCAGTGTGTGTACACACAAAACAAGAGGGAGAGGTGGGCCTGAGAATCCCATTTTCTGGGCTGCTGACAAATTTTAGAATGGAGATCAGGTACAGACTCAGATGGCCTCATTTCACCTGAGTCCCTGCCCAAGTCATTACTGATGATCATTACTGATCATACAAAAGCATCACTTTTGTATGACAGAACTAGCCACAATATGACAAAAACTTTATAAACCTATTTGATTCTGTATTATCCCCATTAATAAGATAAAAGTTTCTTGGATGAGTTTCTTCCCCTTAAATTGCTGAAAAGAGAAATACAACAATAATAGAAAACAGTAGCAATTTACTATTAATAATTTATACTATTTACTATTATAAATTAGTTTTCACAGAGCTTGTGGTCCCTTCACTTTTTTTTTTTTTAATTTGATTTATATGCCGCCTTTCTCCGAAGACTCAGGGCGGCTTACAATGCGCTAAGCAATAGCCTTCATTCTTTTGTATATTTATACAAAGTCAGCTTATTGCCCCCACAATTGGGTCCTCAATTTACCTACCTTAGAAAGGATGGAAGGCTGAGTCAACCTTGAGCCTTGGCGAGATTCGAACCTGCATTAATTGCAGGCAGCTGGTCTTAATAACCAGCTTAATAACAGGGTGCCTTAGACCACTGTATTACCAAGGCTCAACTTTTATTAAGAGTTTAGGAAGTATAAATTACAGTAAAATATTCTTTTCAATCTATATTTTTTTATGTACATATCCCACATTTTCTGATATTTTCAAATCTTATTTTTCAATTCTTCCTCTTTTAGGATACAGGAATCAGCCTTGCAGATTATGTTGTAATTTATTACCTACGCCATTGTGATAAGGTAAGTTTTTATCAATTATTGCACTGTGTATATTATTTAAGAAGGTTCTGTAGAGTTATGCTCATCCCATTCCTGTATGAGAAAAGAAACAGGAAGGGTAAGGATAGTAAGCTAGCACACAACTGAGAAAAATTAAACCTGTTGTCTATTATTTTGATTTTTGTTTTTTGGCATCTTGGATTAAAGTTGAAACATAAACTACATGAATAGCTTTACTTGTCTTCCTACGTCTCCTAAACCCAACAAAAAAGACCTTGTGGGTGTGGGATCTTCCTTAATAAGAATAATAAATGAAAAATTGTTTAAAATAGCAGAGCCACCTCACTAGTTTATTTACTTATTTTGTTGTTGTTGTTAGTTGTGAAGTCGTGTCCGATCCATCGCGACTCCATGGACAACATTCCTCCAGTTCCTGTCCTCTCCCATCCTCTGGAGTCCATTTAAGCTCACACCTTCTGCTTCAGTGACTCCATCCAGCCACCTCGTTCTCTGTCGTCCCATTCTTCTTTTGCCTCAATCTTTCCCAGCATTAGGAACTTCTCCAGTGAGTCCCTCCTTCTCATTAGGTGGCCAAAATATTTGAGTTTCATCTTCAGGATCTGGCCTTCTAAAGAGCTGTCAGGATTGATCTCCTCTAGGACTGACCTGTTTGATCGACTTGCAGTCCAAAGGACTCGCAGGAGTCTTCTCCAGCACCATAATGCAAAGGCCTCAATTCTTTGGCGCTTAGCCTTTCTTATAGTCCAACTTTCACAGCCATACATTGCAACTGGGAAAACCATAGCCTTGACTATACGCATTTTTGTTGGCAGGGTGATGTCTCTGCTTTTTAGTATGCTGTCTAGATTTGCCACATTTTTCCTCCCCAGGAGCAAGCATCCTTTAATTTCTTATATACTTATTTTGTACTTATAATAAATTTATATGCCACCCCTGGATGACTCTGGGCCATTTATGAACAGCAAAATGAAAAATATAAAAATATAATTAAGATTATATTTACAATTATTACTCTATCACCCTTCTCCTGAGGTCCACAGGCTTGCTGGCATAATCAGGCCTTGAGGGACAAGGTCACTCTCACCTCAGGGGAGAGAAGATTTCACATTGCTGGTGCCCACACAGAAAAAAGCCTATCACTAAGGGCCTGCCAAATATAAGTCCCTAGGTGATGGAACCCTTAACATCCCTGCTCTATTTGATTTGGTAGGAGAGACAAATGAAACTGGGAAGAGACTATCCCTCAAAGTGGAGCATTAGCCAGGAACCAGCTGGTTCCTAATTAACCAGCTAAATGTAGTTGTTTCAACTTTAAAAGTGTCATGCTAAATATACAGCAAATGAGTATATTTGAATATGTATTCAAAATATTCAGATTAATAATGTATGAATAAATAGTATGAATAAATAGTTAAATTTTACATTGGCTAATGAATTCATATATTTTAAATGCCACAAATAATACATATTAAAATGTATGAGACTTGTTAACATTAAAATATTTTTCAAAATTCTACTTTTGCCAGAAAGTTTAATTTAACCACATTTGCAGTCTTTCATAATTTTAATACTATCTATATTTTAAAGGGAGCAATTTGTAGATCTAGTCACATAACTTTTTGGATTTCTTAGATTCAAGAAACATTTAAAGCCTTTATTTGAATACTTCACTAGATATACAAAGATCAGATTTAATAGTTATCAATAGGATATTAATTTATATACACTACGGAGAACTATATTTTAACTTTCCAGTGCCAAGACATTGGAACTGTGAATTTCTGCAGATCCAAATTTAATGATGGAGTGAAGATTTCCATCATCTTCTTTCTTTTAACAACCCCATAATCCCTTGCGGGGTGGAGTCTGAACAACTGAATGGAGCTAGCAGAGTGTTTACTGGATGGATGCCCTTCCTGTTGCCAATGCAGAGTTTTGTTCAGCAGATATATTCTCATTGTGCCAAGAGAGAGAAATATCTGCCTCTACCTAGGATCAAACTCACAGCCTCCTGATTGTGAGGAGACAGCTCTACCTCTAGGCCACCACACTACTCTGGAATGAAGATTTCCATAAGTAGAAAATAAAAGTATGGGGTTTAATTCGTCCTGGAGCACCCCTCAAAACTTCTTCAAAGAGTTGTCATAGTATAAGTAATAGCGCATAAAAATAAAGAAGAAAAGGAAGTATTTATAAATCACTCCTTTTATTTATTCTTGCATAATAATTCTCTGGATTAAAGAATGTCCTATAAAGGGCAAAACACAGTTACAAGCCATTAAATTACAGTTAAAAATTAGGATTTGCTTACACAAAGATAACTTTGTATCTTTGTTTTCCTTGGCAATGCTTTTCAATGAGGTGCCAAGGCTAAGATGAATGGATAAACAGAGAAAACATTTCCGTGATGACTTGAAAAGTTACTATTCATTAACCAGACACTTTTGACACTCTCCCCATTTAGGGAACTGTGGAAATAAATAAAGTTGCCAGACATAAATGTGGATGTCATCAGCCACCTGTGACATCACAAAAGCTGGATGTTTTTGAGACTTATTCTCTCTGAACAAAGATGGTAGCTTATTTATCAATTTATTCATTGGATTTATATTTTGCATTTCTAACTAGGATAACTTGCTATATCATAGTACAAATCAAATAATTAAGAGCCATTAAAGCATGGTTCAAACACCCACAAAAACCACATTGATAAAAGAGTGTGCATTTGGTCAAATAAACTTTATCTCAGAAACCACAGAGTTTATCCATCATACCTGCCAGTAAAAAAATAACCAAAAAGGAATTTAGAATTTTTGGCAAAAAATTCCACAACTTAGAAGCCAAGCCCAAGGCAGAAGGAGGTATGAAAGAAGGTAAAAGCTGTGCAATTTTAAAGGAATATGCTATAATAAATACAATACAATGAAGTTTTATTAGCATGGTGAGCTGTCTTTAACCAAATATTATTATGTACTACAAATGTAATTTGAAGATCACAAGCATTTAATTGGAGGGATTCCAATGTGTCTTCATGAGAAAGGGGTATTTTTTTTTAACTTGCATCATTTATTTATATTTATAATTAAGGAAATGTATCTGTTTCAGTAGGACTTATGGTATTGTTACAGTAATTGTTTTTAACTTTCATGTTTAGGAAGCAGGAACAGAAAAGAGTGTATTTCCATTGCCAGAGCCCCAGGATTTCTTCCAGGCATCACAAGTAAAATTTGAAGACGTGACAAAAGATTTAAGAAAACTAAAGAGAGATCTAGAAGGTAAATAAAAATATAATTTTCTTTTGAAAATATGCTTTTGGACTTCTGAGTCTTCCAAAATCTTTTCAGACATCTTCCCAAGTAAATTGGCTTTGGATTGCAACTTTGGGTAGATTACTGCTGTTTGAGCTGCACTACAGCAAATCCATGCTATTAATTTATCACAGTTAAAAACAAAGCCAACAATAAATATTTTATAATGATGACTTTAATGAAGAACTTTAAGTTCTTCAATGTTAAAAGAACATTGCATTTAAGAACTTTAAAGAATATTTGCTTGAAGAATATGAATTTTAAGCAAATGTCTTCTAAATTTTCTATTGGATTAAATTTAACCTTGTAGATGGAATCCAGTATGTATAATTGGCTCTAATTTTGTAGTAATATTCAGTAAGCTGAATAAAATAAGCAATTTGGGATAGAGTTGACATAATTTACATATCAGTAAAGGCTGTGCTTGCAACTCAAAGCAAAAATTCCATTTGAAAATGATTAAGTTCCTTTTAAACAGAATAGTCTCTTGGCTGCAGCGGGTAGAACTGCTGTCAAGATATATTCTCAAAAGAAGCTTCTACTATTTATGGATTCTCATTGCTTATAGATCAAACACATTGTATCAGGCCATTTTCCAACAAGGGAAACAAGAATTTCAGATCTAGGCCTTCTGCTGTGACTTAAAAGAAATTAATAAAAGTCATTTGCATATTTTTTTAAAAAGATTGGCAAAATTAAATTGGGAGCCATCATAAATTATAGTATGGATATAAAGCATCTTAATGCATATAAGTTATTGGTCACTTCTGTTCTCTCTAAGCAGAAATTTTCTTGAGAAATTCAAGGATCTCTATCCACAGTTGTCAATAAAATTTGTCATTAAATAATTTATTCTTCTAGCTAGCTATCTCTGAATAAGCTCATATTTGTTCTAAAGAAAATTTCAAAGGTCACCAGTGGTAAGGAAATATCAGTTGTTGTTTATTTAACCTTGGCATCCACGAGTGCTCTATCTTCCCTCATCTCTTGGTTCTGTTAAGCCCTCTTGGCCTACCCTCCCCTATGTTTGTTCATGCTGAAATAGGATCTGCGTTTGATCTACCATTTTCAAAAAGTATAGTTTTCCTGCTATACATTTGACATGCACAAGCAGTAATTATTTTAACAGGAAGTCAATAAAATGCTGGTTTTATTGTAGTTTTTTTAACATTGCATATTACTTAAAACAAATAGAGGAATTAATAAAAAATAAAATTAATAAAATAATAAAATAAAATATTAAAATAAAATAAAACAAAATATTATCTTATTTTACAGCTCAGTCAGAGTTAATATTAGAATCTGGTTTACAAAATGAATTACTCTACCATAATTAAGTGTACCTGGGTCCAATTATGAGTTCTACATAGGGTAATAAAGAATACAAACAAGAATACAGACTCCAGAATAAATTTGAATTCTTGAATTTATCATGTCATAATTTGAACTGCTGTGATACATGTAGTATCTATTCTGCTCAGTCCTACAAAGCCCAAAAGGGCATAATATATCTTCTCTCCGTGAACTGAAAATTCCACCTTATTTTCCACCAAAGGTAAAAAGAACCTGGTGGTAAAAACTGAATTTTGGTTAATAGAATTCTTTATTGGCAAAGTGTGATTGGACACACAAGGAATTTGTCTTGGTACATACGCTCTCGGAGTACATAAAAGAAAAGATAACATTGTCAAGAATCATAAGGTACAACACTTAATGATAGTCATAGGGAAAGAGATCAATAATAAGAGATCAAGAAATGGATTTTACAGGAAACAAGGAACATTTTTCCTTCAAACAACTATTTTTGTACATTGTTAGACACAGTACCATGTGAAATGTTTTAATTGAAAAGGATATTGTTTTAGCATGTGCACAAAATATCTGATGAATCTATGTAGTTTCTGGCAATCATTAAAAAGCTGTGGCTGTTGGCAAAATACTAGTAAAAACCTAAAACTGAAACAGATGTCATTTGCAAAAACTGTCTTCAGAGAAGGCTACATCCAGCTATCCAGACGAGCACAAAATTTCCTATATACATTAGATGGACCATATTAAGTTTAACTGTTTATATTGCAGATGTTACACATGCTGTAATTATCCATATCCTTAAATTACTTTTGGTAATATTTAAGAGCTTTACCATCATATTAATTTATAGCTTCAAAATTTTAGACATGCCGAAATAGTGAAAACTTGGAAACTATTCTTAGTTGTAATTGGAAATATTTAAATATATATTTAATGTATTGATCTGTTAATACAAAGATAGTTTCCCTCATCAGAAAAAAATAAATATCCATGAATGACCTAAAAACTTTAAAAGATGTGATTTCTTTTTATTTCAAGAGAAACAGTTATTTCACCTAATGTATTTTTCCCATCAGATATGCATGCACAGAATTTATGACAGCCCTTTTGTTGAAGTCAAGCTTCAGTTGTATTCAAAATGTTAAAAGTGTAGCTTTTAAGCAAGTTAGAATTAAGTAAAGCAAAAGCTAAAATTCAAATGAACTCTTGCCACCAATTTCTAGATACCACAGAACCACAAGCTCAAACAAAAATGGAACTACTGGCAATTTCATCCCTTTGAAGAGATATAGCCAAGCTTTTTAAAAGGATAATACTTCAGTTAAAAAAAGTTTAAAATATTCAGTCTGAATTTCTGTCAGTACAACTATATATTTTTACTTATTGGAATATAGGCAACACTCTGCTTTATAAATTAGTCTATAGGTTAAAGAGCTGTTTTCACCAAAGCTGGATTTTGGTTGTTCTTGTCTCACATTGAGACAAAGCGTGCTCAATCTGACTGGTATGGTCCTTATCATTAGTACCACCCTAGCAACATCCTTTCCCTATCTTACAAAAAAAAAATTATGTGGAAGTCATCAATTGACTAAAGCCAGGATAGTATTGAGAGTTGAAATTGAAGAGAGAAAAAATGGCAAGGAAGGATGAATTAACAAATTAAATGAAAGAACAATAGGTAACTCAAAGGTCTATAGCAGTCTATAAAAAGGTCTATACCTTTTTTTTTTTGGCTGTGCATCTAAGCATCTCTAAAATCCTAATGCCACCACCCCTGTGACGTATAATTCTTTGAGTCTTGTCTATGCATATATTAAAAAGTGTTGCTAAGGTCTAGACTCTAGACACCACACGTTTTCGAATTGCCCCCATTAAAAATCAAATTGCTCCCCTGTGAGGCATGGGCCCCACATTGGGAACCACTGCTATACTATAGTATAGTAAATTTCATGTTTATAATAAAAAACTGAAATGATAAGGATAAATCCTAAATATAGGACTGGGCATTTCTTAGCAGCATCAAGAGTAGATGTTGGATAGGAACGGATATCGAAGTAATAACAATTAGAAAAAAAGCAAAAGGAAATAATAAACCTGTGAGAATATTTTTAAAAATGATAAGACTGCATATGTAAATAGTGAAACTTGATAAATAGTAAAATATGGATTTGTTTGCTTTATGGAGTGATTTTAAAATTTGTTAACATGTATGAAGATTCATCCATTATTCTGTCTTGAATGACATACAATAAATCTTGAGCTACTTTGTGCATCCTTTCAGGCATTGGAAAGGTCCTATTAGTTTTCTCTTCTCAAGGCAAAACATTTACAAAACCTTCTCTCTTCTTGAAATGTACTCCCCTGACCCTTCCTTTTGCCCTTCTTTGCCCCTGTTCAAAAGGAAGACTAGGCTTGGAGAAAGGCAATTCACAGAATGGCTCAAGGAGACTCTCTCCTAAGCCTGTTTCTAATATTACTATGAGTGGAAAAATACAGATGGGAAAAGTAATAGTGAACTAAGGAAAAATGGAATAAGCCCAAGAGAATGATGAAAACCTCACCTCTAATAAGGCTAGTACATGAGTAAGGATTTCTTCCAGTTAATGGAAGGCCTAATATGAATTACTTAAGCAAAGAAATCTTTACTGGTATTTCAGCTTAGAATGATTACATTTTTCATTTTCCCCTTTTCAAATGCTTGGCCACATTTGCTAAATCCAAACAATAGTTTTAAAGCCAAAATACTGTCCAGTGTGTTAGATGAGTTACTAAATATTTAACTGTGTGAAAAGTTCTTACTTTGTTTGTTTTATTTATTTTTACTTTGATTTATTTTCTGAAGCTTCACAGTATAATAACATAGGGTTGATTTTAAAAAGCTTAATGTCAGGGGTAGCATGTCCCTCTACAATAGTACTATTTAAAAAAAAAAAAACCTAAGTAACTATAGAATGAAAGCAATAATTACATAACTCAGTTTTACCCAAGATTTTCTGAGATTTATCTAGCTTTATATTTCTAAAAGTTAAGTCTGCAAGATGGGTGGGGAGGAGGAGAAACATAAAGGGAGGGAGGGAGGGAGAGAGAGAGAGAGAATATAACCCTGAATTAGTTAAACTATAGCCCTTGGAATGGATCTCAGCCTCATTTCACCCTCATTTGAAAATCACACTGTAAGTGATCAATTAAAAGAATAGCAAGCTGTTCCTTACCTCTTCAAATGTGGGTGGAGGAAAGAAAAGAAGCGAGTATTTTTCAACCTCACCAGCTTTAAGATGTGTAGACTTCAACTCTCAGAATTCTCCAGTCAGTATACATTTTAAACGTGTTAAGGTTGAGAAATACTAGAAGGGGATATTAGGAAAAGGAGACATTTAAAAAGGAGGAAAAGGGATTGAATCCTACTTATTTTGGCTCTGGTTCCATCTGCCACTTGTTTCAATCCATTTTTAGTTCTGCTCATCTGCCACATCATTCCAGATTATTTGTAAAGTAAATGTGCTACACCTTTACTAAATCAATACTGAATAAAAGAAGTAAGGAAAGAGACCTCAGTAGTTAATGGTTCCATAATTTGCTGTTGTCTTGTTTATGGTGCCTTACCTTTCTCAAGGCCAGAGTCAGTTAAGAGCCGCAAGACATGAGCCCATGTGCTA